CCCACCCTATAAAAAAAATCCCTCCCAAAAAAAAAAAAAAAAATAGGCTCTTATGTGTATGGCAGCATACAATGGCTATAAGAGATACCGATCTATAATCCCTTTTATGAAATCCACTGCCAGAAGGATTTCAGAATTTTTCTACTTTTGGAAGGTATGTTTTATCTTACTTGACATCCCATAGGGTCTGGGCCCAGGCCCCATAATCACATTAACATTTTTCAGAGAAAATTATAGGCATCATATTTAGTAGGATAAGTAAAGCTTATAAATAGTCTCACTTCAGGGACCAGCAGTTAGCGTAATGGCTATGTCGCTGGACTCCCACGTAGTCTACTGTGGTTCATGTCCCGGACCCGGTGGCTTAAAACTCACACCAGGCGTGTGTGCGTGGGTGCCGAAGATCCCAAGAGGACAATGGAGGAGAAGGGATTGCAGCGTAGCCATCTCCCCTGGGGGGGTGATTTCTCGCTTTCTGTCACTGTCTCTCTCTGTCTGTCTGGCGAGTGCACGTGCACTATAGCAAAAACCTCTCTCCAAAAAAAAATAGTCTCACTTCAGATCAGGTTTTGCCACTTTGCCACCATGGGTTCAGTTCAAGTTTCAGTGACAAATGTGTCAGGTCAGGACAAGCTTAACACCAAAAGTTAAGAAAATTTTTGATTTTCAGAGAGTTTTTGATTTCAAAGTAGTGAATAAAGGATTGTATACCTATTCAAAGATTCATGGGGATGGAGAAGACAGCAAGTGGCATGGTGGTTGAGTTCCAGAACTGGCAGGTTACTTTTTCACTTTCCCCCTCTCTCTTTCTGTCTGTCTCTGGTGAGTGCACATGCCCTATAGCAGATTTTAAAATAATAATAATAAATTAAGTACTTTTTTTTTTCTTGGAGAGGATTTTGCTATAGAGTGCATGTGCTCGCCAGAGAGACAAAGACAGAGAGACAGAAAGCGAGAAATCACCCTCCCGGGGGTATGGCCATGCCACAATCCCTTCTCCTCCATTCTCCTCTCGGGATCTTGGGCACACACACCCAGCATGAGTTTAAGTCACCGGGCCTAGGACTTGAACCTCAGTTAACTATGTGGGAGTCCAATGACATAGCCATTACGCCAACTGCTAGTCCCAGGTAAATTTTTTTTTAAAGATTCACTGAGAGGTAAATAACTGAGCCACCCATGATTTTCTGGAGTAAGCATAGTTTCAAGTAGTTGGTAAGCAGTTGTCCTGACCCTATTACAGACAGATATCCTGGGTTGTGTTCAGGAAAATATGCTGCTATTTAAAAGACACTCTTCATTTATTAGAAGAACTTATAGCAAAGAGAAGAAAAGAAATTAAAATTTGTTGGACTAAATTATAAAATGAATAAGAAGATTTTCAGAGACAGGAGAACTCAGTATAGATTTGTATCAGCAGCAACTTCATTGAATGGATAGGTCTAAACTGTTAAGTAAAGTTTTGTTTGTTTTTGTTTTTGTTTTTTCCCTTTGGTGAGTTTTTTGCTATAGGGCACATGTGCTTGCCAGAAAGACGAAGAGAAACAGAGAGACAGAAAGATATAAATCACCCCCCAGGGGAGATGGCCACACCATAATCCCTTCTCCTCCATTCTCTGGGATCTTGGGCACATATGCACAAACACCCAGTGTGAGTTTAAGCCACTGGGTCCAGTACTCAAACCATGGTCGACTACATGGGAGTTCAGCAACATAGCCATTATACCATCTGCTAGTCCCTAAGTAGAGTTTTGATGAAGTGTCAGAAGATTTTCCATTCAGGATGTAATAGCTTGAGAAAAGGAGTCAGGGAGAAGACTGTAAACCAAATATAATAATTCTCATTTATGGAGTTCATAGTATTTTCCAGGCACCATGACAGTATGTACTTAGGTTGTCTACATTCCTCACATCACCCCTATAAGGTATCATCCCCACTTTGCAAGGGAATATTGGCTCAGAAAAGTTAAGTAATGTTGACACAAAAACCAGACTTGAACTGAAGTCCAACTCCAAAGTTCAGGCATTTCCTACCATGCCATGTTGTCTCTGGATAAGTGTTTTGGGGTCATTTAATGTGTACTCTGAGGAAAACAAAGAATAAAGCA